AAATGTAGACAGAGTAGAAAGTGGAGGCACGAGGAACGAAACCGGTCCAAAGGGTCAAACGTCTTTCATTCCAGAAAGCCCACGCATCAGCAGTGGACCTCAGCCAGGAAATGTGAGAAGGGCAAATGTTGATGGCCTAGCCAATGAGGGCACTAGAGACGGTACAGGTTCAGTGGGTCAACCAGTCCTCGGTTCAAGGAATCCAAACGTTGGCAATGAAATCCAGTTGGAGACCTCAAGGAAAGTTGGCACTAATCAAATTGATAACAGAGGCACAAGAAATGGTGCTGGTCACGTCGATCCAGTATCCTTCGTTTCGAAAAGTTCAACTGCTGGCAGAGAACCTCAGTCAGACGATCCAAGGAAGGCAAGTGCTGATGGAGTAGAAAATGGAGGCACCAGAAACGAGACCGGTCTAAAGAGTCAAACACCATTTGGTCCGAAAAGTCCAAACGTCAGTAGTGGACCTCAGTCAGGAGATCCAAGGAAGGCAAATGCTGATGGAAAAGATGACAGGGAAATGAGAGGTGGTAGTGGCCCTGCGAATCAAACTCCTTTTGGTCGGAATAGTCGAAAAATGGACAGTGGCCCCCAGTCAAATGATCCCGGTAGGCTGAACGCTGATAGAGTGGCAGATGAAAGCACCAGAAACGATACTGGTCCAATAGGCCAAGCATCTTTTGCTCCGAAAAGTCAACATGTCTACAGTGGACTCCAGTCAGGTCACACAAGAAAGACAACTCTAGAAGTAGTAAGCAACAGGAGTATCGGAAATGGTACCAATCCGTCAAAACAATCTTCTTTTGATCCAAAAGGTTCTGTGGTCGACTACCGTGGCCAGTCAAATGATCCTGGAGGATTAAATGTTGATGGCGTAGCCAATGAAGGCACTAGAGACGGTACAGGTTCAGTGAGTCGACCAGTCCTCGGTGCAAGGAGTCCAAACGTTGGCAATGAAATCCAGTTGGACACCTCAAGGAAAGTTGGCACTAATCAAATTGATAACAGAGGCACAAGAAATGGTGCTGGTCACGTCGATCCAGTATCCTTCGTTTCGAAAAGTTCAACTGCTGGCAGAGAACCTCAGTCAGACGATCCAAGGAAGGCAAGTGCTGATGGAGTAGAAAATGGAGGCACCAGAAACGAGACCGGTCTAAAGAGTCAAACACCATTTGGTCCGAAAAGTCCAAACGCCAGTAGTGGACCTCAGTCAAGAGATCCAAGGAAGGCAAATGTTGATGGGGTAGACGACAAGGCCACCAGGAGGGGTATTGGTCAGGTGGGCCAGAAGCCTTTTGGCAGGAATGGCCCAAAAGTTGATAATAGAACCCAGTTAGATGATTTCAGTAGAGCAAATATTAACATGGAAGGTAATAGAAACGGTCCTGGTTCAATGAATCAAGCATCTCTCAATCAGAAGAGTCCAAAAGTTGGCAGTACACCTCACTCAAGTGACCAAAGAAAAGCAAATGTTGATAAATTAGGTAGCGAAAGTACTAGAAGGGGTGCTGGTGTGGTGAGTCCAAGTTTAAATTCTGACACATCAGATGACCCACGGAAGATCATTTTTAATGGAGCAGAAAATGAAAGTCCCAGAAATGTTACTGTTCTTGTGAACCACGTATCATTTGTTCAAAGTGGTCGCAAAGCTGACAGCAATCTCCCATCAAGCATCAATGAAGCAAACATTGGTGGCATAAATGGTGCTGCTCATGTGAGACAAGCGGCTTTCAGCTCCACAATTTTAAGAGTAGACAGTAAAGTGCAGTCAGATGATCCGAGAACGGCAGTCAGCAATGGAGCTGGCCGTGACAACGCCAAAAATAAAACGCCTAAGGGGATGAATCAATTGACTATCAGTAAGAAGCCAGCACCCAGTGCGAAAACATCTGATCCAGGAGAGACTGAAGATGATATTTCGTATGAAGAAAGTGATGAGGCTGGTCTGAGCTCATCTGAGAGCAAGAGTCCAGGCGAATTTGTTGGACCAAATGGAGGTAGAGGTATCATAGTGAAGGAGGGAATCAAGACACCCAGAATCGCAAGAGGAATCGGATTCAGTGGTCTTAGAAAAGGTAAGGCTCCTAATCTCGAAACTGGTGATGAAAACAATAAGCAAGGTCCTCGTCCAATTCATTCTGCTCCCAATGAAAGACATCAAACAGATTTTGCCAGAAAAGGAGAAGGAGGTCAGACCGTCGGAAAGGTTTCTTACAAAAGCTATCCCTCCAGTTTTGGAAAACTCCGTTTCCAGCAAAAGGGTCACTCCTCTTTTAACGAGAAATTGCATGGTGGCGAGAGCAAAACTGTAAAGGGAAGGCGAACACCCAATCCCTCCGACCGATTTGCAAGATTGGAAGGCGCTCAATACGGCTACATAGATTTGGTTAAAGCGCTGGAGATGCTTGATAGAAATGCCGTCTACTACTACATTTATGTATTTCTGCATCAAAGAGACGTGAGTTTAAGAAAAAGCCAATTCTTTAAGGTAAAAATAGATTCTAAGATAACTAATCAATTAGTGCTTCATAGCCTATGCAAGCATTAGTTTAATGAAACCCTCTTTGACTTCTTCATCGTCAGGTGAAACTCAAGCGTAGAGTTGAATTCACTACCATTTTTCAAAAGGTAGATAAGGAGCTGTTGCCGTTTGAGACACGCCGGTGCATCGAGAAGGCTCTGGAGACAGCCTCGAAAGATGAGGAGGAGCGCCTTCGTCTCTGCATTCTTAACAACAAGGACAGAAGGCTGAGCAAGGTTGAACTCACTACGGGCTGCAAAATTGAAATGGGTGAGTTAACTGGAGTGGAGAACTGCTATCGCGGTTTGCCGCGGCGTCGACTAACCATCACGGGTCCCTCGTACGCACACATCGCCAACGCCATCTCCATGATGGAGGAGTACTTTCCACGACTTATGCGTAATGCCACCTACCCTTACCCTCTGCCACGAGGCACCACAACCAAGTACGAGACGGAGGAGCACATGGCCACCACAGCCTTCCAAACCGTCGACCATGAGCCCGGCAACATCGGATTGCGCGCCGACTTCAACGACCGTGCTTTAGTCACATGTCGACAGGTGCGCGAGGCCTATGGGGGCTCCTAATCCATAATATCCTTTTCCTGGGTTTAATTTTTGTGTTTGTAAGTTCCCCAATGAAAAATAATGAAATCATGTTGTTTTCGTTGCCGATGAATAAAAGAGAACGTCGACCCTTTTCAGTAATTGGTCCGGGCGTGGCCACATTTTACAAGCTGTCCTTGCATAGGGTATGAGCGGATGCCCTATTGTCACTGTTCAGAGTTGCCGGACAAATCGAACGACTTGAATGTTGATGAGTAAAATGGCGCAATTTCGGTGTCATTAGAAGGTTTTATTTATCAAAGTAAATGGTGTAGAAGGTAGGAATAAGTTACTACACGACATCTGCATGCTGATGAAAGATACGCTCCTCGTTCAAGAAGCCTTATATACCTTTAATTCATTTAGTATGCATTAACCCAAACATCCCAATGAAATCTTCGGAAATATTTCAATTGGTGCGAAATTTTGGTCTCTGTAAGGTACGGCATCGGGCCACATTCAGTGATAGCGAAGGTTAGGAACCTGAACTATGTGCCCATTCTAACCTTGCAAGGCTTGAGGCCTAACATTGACTAGCCATAGAGTCGCACAGCTATTGTTAGTTAACAGGCACAACGGTAGTTGGTTTCGTAAGTTAAAATGCTTGTAATCACAAGCACAGGAAGGGATGTACTAGTAACGCACTATTAGGCTCGAGAAACGGACAAAATTGGTAGTCGAATTATTCATACAGCAGACACTGTGTATACAGTAGGCAAAACTGTTGGAGATGAAAAAAAAAACACTTCCGAGGCCTCTAGCACGACGGGCTCTCGCTTAATTCTTCATCATTAACCCCTATTGCCAACTCACTAAATAACCGAGGACAGCCCAGTGGAACCACAAATACAGGAAGGGATGTGCGTGGAGACGTATTCGTGACTAACGAATAAGCGCTAGACTATGCCGTTTATTATGGTGGCTAAAATATTAATCAGAAACCCTATTATTAGCTAGGCAGTAAGTTCAGAAACTGATGTTTTTATCCGAAAATTTAAAATAGGTTCTGTAGTGTCCCGAGGCTTCCCATAGGGTGGAAGAAGGCATAAATGAGGTTGAATCAATGCATTCCGAAGACGACAAGGCAAATGGGGCCTGAGCGTGACCCGAAGGCCAGCCCATGCGTCGAGGGGCGAGACAAATTCTAAAGTGACCGCCAAACGTCAGGTAATCGCATAAACAAAGCACTACAGGTTCAGTGTCTTAAGTAGCGGTTTGACATAAAACTGATATTTCACATTACGTCTAGTGACAACTTTTGCCATAGTTATGTAAATAGTTAGGGAAATGCGCCTAATGTGTGGCTGTGTAATGCTTCAACGGTTTCGGTAACTGGCTCCTCAGGACCATCATCATATCCTCATCCAAAAGGCTGGCTGTGAGGTTATTCCAATGGCTTTAGCCATGCTACAGGCCCGAAATACGTTTCTTTTTCATGTAATGTACCATCTTTTGCCTCCAAAAAGGTTTAAGACATTACTTTATCATCCACTGTAGCACCCCGAGACTTCCTAGCCGGTATAATAAGTCAGTAAGTGCAGCTGGATACAGGTGTTCCGAACACGACAGGGCAAGTGGGCCTGGGCATGGCCCGAAGACCAGCCCACGTGTTCAAGGGCCAGACAAATCCTAAAGTGACCGTCAAGCGTCATGTCGTCACATTTGCAAAGTATTACATCCACAATCTCTGGCATTCAACTGTTCACAATCACATGAGAAGTGCTAGTTTTGATGAGTTTTGCAATAAAATACAAAAAGAGTTTTGTTTAAATGCCCTATCTGCAAGGTGAGACACTTTGCAAGGTGGTTTAGCACTTCTTTCCTTCCATAAAACTAAACAGTGGTTTTTTAACAAATTCTTTCCTTAGGAGATACATGAATTCACTTACCTGTGAAATTTATCGCCACTCCTGCTTTTGCCTTCGCATGGCCCCCCGGTGATGAGGGTGCGGTTTCAGTGCTTTAAGGAAACAGTACATAGGGCAGGAATGCAGCATTGCATAGCTTAAATTTGAGATGCTGAAATCAACGCACAAAAGGTTTCTGCAAGAAGCTGTTCTTCTGAGCCTCCCTGTGGGCACACCGCGGTGCGGGGAGGAGTTGAGACTCGCACGGAGCAACTTTTACTCTCAACAACCTTCTCCATGCCTTTCACGAACAAAAAGACGAATGAGGTAGATCGATTCCTTCAAAATGCGTTTTCTCACCATACTTAATTCTAATCACTAGGGCGTCTTCGTTAATCAAAATTTTACTCCTCTCCTTCTGACGCACCAACAGAGTATGTGACGACCTTTGAGGCGCCGCAAACATAACGATAAAAACTTCAAACATGATTTGTAAAGATTAACAAGAAAATGCCGTAAAACAATCTTCTAGCAGAGACTTAATAACTACCATAAAGTCGGGTTTGTTTATGGGGCTCGCTACACCGTCCTCAATGGAAGGTTGTGGCAGGCATTAGCGATGACAGCACTTGATCGGGAATCATTTTCGCCCCTTAAAATGTAGCACGTACTAAACACAAATGCAAAATTCATTGTTCACATAACTACTGCGAAAAGGATGCCTCCTTTTTCGCCTATGTACAGAGCAATCTCCTGCTACAGGCTGAAAACGCCATTTGTGATTGTAACCTCAAATCAACAACTGATGAGGTCTTTCCATCTACTCCTCTTTCCTGTGGTTAGAATGAATGAGAGGGAGTTAATTATTTTAAGACACTCTACTCGACACAGAGTTGACTGGGAGTTAGAAGGCGGGAGTTGTTTGGTCCCGGTGTGCTGCCGCTCTATTTAAATGCGTCTTAAGTACAAGGCTCGAGCTTCCTATTAACGCCTCGTCCAACAATAGCGCTTAAGGAGCCATGAATGCTACGAAGGTATTCCACTCTTAGATGAGGGATGCAGAAGTTTACAAAATGGAGCTCGCTCGTGCCATTCCCTCTGGGTGAAGATGCCGTTCGCATACCAACGGGTAGACACTATGAAACATTTGTAAATGTTACTGTTGTTAATATTCGCAAATATCAGCAAAATGCATTGACAAAAACAATATCCAAACTCCCCAAACAGGCGGTACGAGTTTAGCCCCCACGTTTTTCCTCTCTGCAATAGAAAACTGCCCAGGCCATGAAGCAGGGATGTCTGCCAATCAAAGTGCCATTTCCCTTCTGCCATGATGGGCTTCCGATTATTTTTCAACTGGCAAACTGTTTCTGCGGTGTCAATAAATAACAACAATTTCAAATTACTGAACCGCTCTCGAATAAAGGCAATACCATTTTGCGTGGTAATGCACCAGTCGCCTCAATCCTTAAATCCTACCCTAAGTCAAACGTACTGTCCGTTGGAGAAGAGATTCCGTTTTGCCTCCTAGCCATGATTTGCCGCTATCGGTTGCGGTCAAGTACGTGGACGCGTTGTACCCACTCAATCGCCTTCCCTTTTGCTTGAATGTGCGCATTTAACCCAATTTTTATGCCTTTTCTCATCCATAGGAAAGTCTCTTATCTGCATGCTAAAGTGGGTGCTCAAGGCATTTTATCGCATGCAAATTTCCTCGTTTTCGGAATTACAGATGGTCAATCGAATTTCGCAGGCGATTGTATCGAGCTTACATTTTAACATAGGCTTCGCTTATTTTTTGGTTTGTGAAGCTTACACCAATGCTTATTTTGCATTTTGAAGCGTGCTTTATGCTAGAGTTATTCACATCGTAAACTGTTAGTTGAGCTTGAAATACTTTCGAATTGCAAATCCCTTCCAAGCCCGTTTGACCTTAACTTAACTCTGTGGGATTGTTCGAAGGAAGTGCCACATGTGGCAATTACCACGAAATGTTTTGTTAACTTGAGTATCGAAGGAGTAAAAGGAGATCTACTTTTCGCGAATAATAGCATGTAGGCATCAAAAATAGCTCTCAACGTCAAGAACTGTAGATAGGGCTTGCCATTAGACACCAAACTAGTTGTTTACGCCGACACCCTCGAGGAATTTGCCGAAGTCAAGCACGTCGGTCCCACCCTTCATCAACTTCCATGCTTCCTTCCACTCCAAATAACTTATGCAAACCGACATTGAGTCTTTCAGTGCATTTTTGACCAATTCCAACTTGACAATACAAAAGGGACTGCAATCCTAACCTGCACGGGACGAGTGAAAGTGGTAATGATTGTGATTAAGTCTAGAAAATTGTGTCTTATGTCTTTGAGTAGTTGAATGGAGGCACAAATTTTCATTCAGACCCACATGTTTCACTGCATAGGTGCTTAATATGAACAGCTAATTTGGACAAATCATTTAACACCGTTACAATGCTTGTCAATGGAAAGACCAGACACTACGAAATGAGGTGACAGTAAGATGCTGCTTCAGCCCACACTTTACCTTGAGATTCTGTTAATTTATGCTTTCTTCTTTTCTCCAGCCTCAGACACTCACTTGCCAAATAGACAGTTGGGGAATAAATTTGTGATAGGGATTAAGGCCGGCTAATCTTGCCTTCCAGTGCAGAGACTCACTGGGGTGGAGTGTATCGCCCAATGTTTCCGTTGGGCAGGGTGATTATTGTTATTGAAGTGGCAACAACTACCTCGTTACCGCACGCCTCCCTCCACGCCCCGTCATTCATTAGCCCCCATCGACAAACTACCTGCATGAGGCTCATTCCTGCAGATTGTTCCCTTTAACACATCACCAGCTATTATTTACAAATGACAAAAACACAAATTAGAGTTTCTCCGGACCACGTGGGAAAAGAAGCGCTAAATGTTGCTAAATGTATTGTTCTAAAAATGTCATTTTTCTCTCTCAGTCGGGATTGAATCTACGGTGAGAAATTATTTTGGCAGGGTTCAAGTGGTGGTGCGCTGAAGGTTACCGGAGTAAGCTCCCGCCAATGTCTACAAGTGATCAAAACATGGTTCACTTGAACTGCTTTTACATATATAAAGTGTACATATTTCGTCAATGTGTTGTGTCAAGTAGAAAAGTTGGTCTGACATTTGACTTAAGGAATGATAAGCCAAAAGGGTTGGGGATCGCCTTTACCTAAGAGCCTAGGGAAAACAAGGAAGAATGGATAAGGAAAGGATTGAAAAGGCGTATTAATCTATCGATAGTACGCCGTAGAATAAAAGGGATCGGGACGAGCCAACGCCGATTGCCAGCCTATGTGCCCCTCGAAGTTGGAATTCCAGGCGTTGCGAGGGGCATGGTGAAATCCCCCGTTCCCTCCACCACCACTGCTGCCGCGGCCGGCGCGCATCAGAGTGGTAATGATGGCGCGTGTGAGGCCCGCAAACGCCGACTCGCGATGCCGCCTTGGCCTCAAAATATGAGCTAGTCCCGCTTCCACGTCCAACGTTGTGCGTCCACTCTTACGAGCCTCGTCTGTGCGGAGTGACACAACGCATCGCAAGTCAACCTTCAACTCTTATGCTTACACAGCGTTGAGGTTCCATAGTCTTACGTGAGTACCATTAACTTGACTGTACTTTTAAAGGACTCTTCGTTCTACTATTGCAATGCTTTGTGAGGAATACCTAGTGATCAACCCATTGGGCAGTCATAGACCCAAGGTTTTTAACCACCGTTATGGGCTACTCGAGTGTTATTGCATGCATTCCACTCCTCTTTTACTTTAAAGTATTTCCTGCAGTTACACAAGTGGATGTTATTCGTGTGCAAAATGTGAGCCTTCAAAGTAAGCTCTCTTTCCCGGCCACGCCTTACAACAACCAAACTTGTAACGCCGCAATTTCGGCCTTTTAGTAATGCAAAAGTACAATGGAGGCACAGCGTATGAAATGCTGTAAACTGCATTGCTTATAAAATATGCCATACGATTGGTGGATAATCACAACAAAGATAGTTATTAGTGAAAGAACATTGTTGTTATTTGTAAAAAGAGTAGGCAAAAGAACTTCACTACTCTCTCACCATCAGTGCTACAGTTTCAACCTCAGTGTAACGCAACTTCATACTTCCACCTCAATCTCACCACTCTTTAATGGAGGCAGAATTCCCGTTCTAAGGGAGAAGTCTTTAGACATGGCATTCAAGATTCTTACGGTCTTTTGGCCCTCAATAATGATGGTGTTTCGTTTGCTAATCAAACACATTGAAATCAAGCAGTAGCGGGACCTTCTACATCTCCGAGAGCTGTAAAGATCACAATGAGGAGCACTACAAGCGTGACAATAAAAAGACGTGCTAGAAAAAGTTGATTCAACCAGAAGGTTTTGTAAAACGACTGATGCTGCATACAGAATTTTGGTTGAAATAAGTCATTTTCAGCATGTATTTTAGCCTGATTTGTTGACACTTTGCTGAATTGTCAGGTTTGACTGATGGTTTTGTTGGACTTTGTAAGTAATACGTACAAATGCTGCATTTCTCCTTATTTCGAACACAGTCTAATGGAAAAGCGCAGCACTTTTGATTGGATCAGCCATTCCCTCGGCTCCTTCAATGAGGCAACACACACGAGGCACCGTTCCAACCCGGAAAACGTTAAACTGGCAGCAGAATTACCAAAGTAGAGGCAGTAGAAGCGACACTCTTTCCTAATTCGGCATTTCCATATTTCCCAATTCGGATTTGTTTGCGAATTCAAGAAAATGGAGAAGCAAGCCACTTCAAATGCCATGATCAAGACCAGATGATTGGAAGTCTTCGGCTGAGTAGAGAAGCCGACCTTCCAACGACAGATTGATAAAACAAACTGGACCGTCTCCATGCTCAGTAATATCGAATAAACCTGTAAAAGTGCCTTCTTGTCCCTATTAAGCACTGCTGATTGACGAATAGTTTACACCCTAATTGGCTTCATGTTGAAGTGACGAGGATTGAATCCTTCTTCACTCCAAGCAATGGACATTTGCAATTTCTTATCTTTACGGACTTTCAGTCTACTCAGCATTTTCAAAAGCTGAAATGAACATTTACAGACGTGTAGGTGTAATGGAGGGAGGCTTAGCATGCCTCTTTGCCTCTCAATTTCGCTAACGGCAACCGAGAGCTGCACCACTGTACCACCACGGGGTTGCCTGCCTCCCTCCTCTTTTTCCCAACGGCGAGAGTTTTGCGCTAGTTTCATGGCCCCCTTTGCCTTCAGAAGATGATCTACGAGATTGCTAACTTTAGTCGTACGGCAACAGTAACTCTTATGTCACATTTGCAGAGTTTAATTGTCTCCTCCATACCTGCGATAATGGATTGGTCAAGGATCATAATGTTTTAGCTTTCATATAAACAAGTAGATCACAACTGTCTCATCAAGGAAAGCATCCTTACCTACGCAGCAACTTCATATTTCTAAAAAAATCAGCGAGCGATCCCAAATGCACCACTACTTTTTACGTTAATGCTAGGCCACGGAAGGGAGCTTTGAAGGGCAGATACCTCTCTTACCTGAGGCAATAATTACGCATTGTCCTTCATGAATTATTAACTTGAATGTTGATTTATAAGAGAAAAAGGCCTGTTTTTAAGTGAGGCGGAAATGGATCCCGGAAGCACACTTCAATAATTTATGTTGGCAGTAGAAACAAATTACTTTAGCGCGTGATTCAATGAATAAATGTTTCCTAAATGGAGGATTAAGTTGGACTTCCTGTTACAGAATGAATTTTATGAATGCAAAACTTTATTTTCGTTCTCATATAATACAATAACGTGTAACCACTTGCGGCTTTTATTTTAGACAACCAAGAGTGCTGGTTGACAAGACCAATGGAGACGTCAAATATCCACAGCTCCTGACACAAGTGTCGGGGAGATGAAGTGTTCACTTTGCTTTGGGATTACAAAAGGCCAGATTCAACACGCCCTTGGCAGTCCGTAGCATTAAAGGCAGTCTTTCAACAGCGTCGCCTTCCATCCAATGCTCGACGCCACTGGCTGTGCCATGTGTCCTCCACTTACGCATTCCACGTTATGGTGCGGCATAAAAAGACCAGCCGACAAGTGGACATTTAACCGTATTTGCACAGTTTTGTGGAACCTGTTTATGTCTTGAAAATGCCTCTCTTTCAACCCCCGGACTCCACTGGCATTTATTGTGAGAGAAGATTGCTTATCCATGTGCAATCTGTTTTGGCTAGCAGAGTTTTCTTTGTGAGCCTCCATCGATGCTTGACACTGATAACATTTTTCCACTCCATCAGGAGAAATTGACGGTGAACTACTGCCTCACCAACTGAACGGTTCCGAATTATATGCCATATGGCTTATCAAAACAAATTTGAAGCCGTCTTCTAGCTAAATAATTCTATTTTTACTAAAGAAAATTACAACAATAACACACAGTTCAGCTTTGATAATACTTCCTGCTTCCAAAATGTTGTTTTCATCTAATACAGAGTACAAAGTAATTGCACACAACAAAAATAAAATATACTTTCCTCCCGTTGCTTGACCTCTTGTCTGTTTATTTCCCACATTTCTATAGCAGCGCGTCCTTTTATCAGGTTTCTCGTTGATAAGATTTAAACACTAACTTTCTTGCCTCAATCTTTAACCTTTTAGAGAAGTAATGCTGGGAATTATAAGTGTTCCATTCTTTCAAATAAACGGCAATTGAAATTATGCAGTGGAACAAGCTAGGTAAAGTAGGTGCAAAAATGTAACTCACCGCCTTTGACAACGCCTCCATTTTCTTCCGGATACGCAGTTACGGTTCGTGAGAGAACCGGAATACCTCCGTTTAGTGAGCTACATTTGGAAGCTATCCCTCCTTCCATCTCTCTCCCCGCCTGCATCTCCACCTCGGCCAACCCGTCCTCCGACTTGGAGACGTCGAGAGCCTCACAGTCTAAAGAGAGATGGCTGTCCCCTTCCAGGTAAATAGGGATGGAAGGCAGAGCTTCACCGCGTCGAAGGCAATTGTGAATAGCCACACCAAGGCAGACGATGGCGAGGATGACACCCACGGTGAGGCAGTTACGACAGCGCGTCCAAACACCCACTATAGTGAGCGCTAGGGCAGCGAGAAAACCTAGCCAAAGGCCAATGAAGATGAGACACCTTAGCGCTCGGTGGCAGCCGCTCTCTTGCTCCGCGCTTACGGAGGAGCCCTCGATGCTTTCTTCCCTCGCCTTGCTCGTTCTCTCACTGACGGAGGACAGTGTGCCGAATGGGGGACGTAGGCTTCTACGCGCTACATGTGGCAACTTCCTCGGCCCTTGCTGCAACGGTGAGGTCAGTTTTTGCTGTGACCCAGGAAGTATTTTTAAATGCCTCCACCTGAAAAGGTTAATGTTCATTGCTAAATGTCATGCTGTGTTACATATTTTGCGTGGTGAAAGGATTAAAATGTAATCTGTACTCCTTTGTCTCTCTGTCGGCTGTTTAAAACGGTGTCTTGACATAACTGAACGGGCCAAAAACGGCAGCACGAATTAGCAGCCTGACGAGAGGTTGAGACCGCATGCAGTTGGTAGGGAGGAGGTGACTTACGCCATTGGAGGTCATCACAACCAAGTTGTTGACTTTTAGCGTAATACCACAATCACATCTCCAGCATCAATCATTAAGTTAATTGAAATGCAACACGTCTACTTGCTTCTCATTAGCCACTCTCTCTGACTGAAATGGCAAACTAGATTATGTTCCTTAACAAATTTGTTAGTTCTGCTAAACTGGAGGCTGAATGAGAACTACAAGTGGTTTTGCCCTACACAAAACATTTTGGACATAAGCTTGTCGAGCAGAGGGCAGAAGAAACTTGCTCACAGACAAAACAGCCATTTCCTGTGCTGTGCGAGGGGAACGCCTTCGCATCAGCCACAATGTCACCTAATTTATTGCTTTTCAGTCGTCTTCTACTCCACTGCAGAAATTTGTCAAACATGCAATCCTTGTAGGGAAGTGCGTAGTAGTATTTGGATGCCATGCGGGCTTGCCTTGAGCACCTGAACAACAGACGTTGACTTCGAAGGCGGAGGCGCCAACGGCACCACCACTTAAAACATGCGGTGACGAAAAGATGAAAAGGCTTTCTCTAATAACGTCCTCTTTGACGCAATGTGTTGCTGGATTTTTGTGTTTTAGATGAAGTTAATGTATGTTCAGCAAGGCTATGACGACCCTTCTGTCCTGGCCTTTAAGAAGATCTCTCGCCTACTTCGCTATCTCCGCAGTTAGCCGACAAAATTGGCACTTGAAATTAAATTGGAAGCTTATTATTGCCATGAAGTGCATGAAATAGGCTTGTCTGTAGCTACCTCTTAACAATGGCTTGACAAGGATAACAAATCAGTGATAATTTAACGCCTAGGTTATTATTTTGTGAGTTTCCCCCATTTGCATCTGCAATGAATTCTAACAAACTGTAATTTGCTGCTTGGAAAAGTTATAATGCTCAAAAAAATGTAGAACAAATACACCCAACTCTATTGGAAGGCGCTTTGTTCTACTAGTGCATATCGACCTACATCCGTGGGCGTGATTTCCGGGTAGTGGATTTCAGGCAAAAAAGTCCGGTACCAATCAGCTTTTTTAAAAAGTATTTTGGATGACATTAGACAGTAGAGCACCGACCTAACTCAGAAATTTCAAAACATATTTTATAGTAGCCGCAAGTCCATGCATACAAACGTCACGTGTTCATTCATTGACCATGCAAAAGGTACTTCAGTGAGTTCTGCGGCGATGCGCAATTTCCTTATTTCCCTTTCTTCAATGCAAACAAAGTTAGGATATTTTTTGCTTCTGTGCAGTTTATTGTATGACCCCACAAACTTTGTTTCATATGCCCCAAAAATAAACACTGGTTTAAAGGAATGCAAATGAAAAGGGAGGAAAATGGGACTATAATGGAGTGAGTGACGGCATGAGTAAAGTATTAGCAGGCCTGAAAAACGGATGCCTTACCTATTAGAGTGCTTCAGAGAACTGAGCTGGGGATGAAGTCACTTTCCGCAAGCATGTTGACGGAGAGGAGTGAATACAGTGGACACGCGAGGTTGCAATGGCGGAACTGGAAGGTGAGTGCGTGTGTGTATGCGCATGCAAGTCGGCGATGCGAGTGCTGCGCGTCCGAGGCGGCGCTAGGCATGCATGCGACCTCGTGCGTGCATGCGTGCGTGCGCTTGTGTGCGTTCACGACTGCCGTAGCGCTTGCAGGAACGCATGCACACACGTCCGCACTGCCCCTCGGGCACGTGAGTGTCTCGATGCCCAGCGTGCCTTCCTCGACCGTGGCAAGTCCGCCCCGCAACTTCGGTCGAATCCTTTTGGACCATATATTCTACAATACTTGTGAAGCATGCCCTCAGTGATACACCAGTTTTTTTTCAAATTTTTGGATTTCAAATCAAGTGTTTGTTGGTCGTTTTGTTTCTTTTTTGTATGGGGAAGTGGTATACCAATAATTCGAACTTCATCCAACACATGCACATTCATTTTTTTAGGCATGTGTTGACACTGTTTCCCACCAGCGCCTGCACATCGCTCATATGTGACGCATTTGGCCAAAATGCGATCAAAGGGGATCTGGAAGAACAATTGTTGCATTGTTGCCAGACCATCAGCAGCATAGAGGCTAAAAAGGGACGAATAAGTACAGCAATTTTGAGAATGGTTTTTGTTTGCGAGAATTATTTGTTTGCATTTGTTTGGAAGAGATCTGTTATAAGGTTATCGTCCTCCGTTTCAATGTCCTAAAATTGACACTCAGTGAACCCTACCAGTGGACAACTTTTATGGATCCATCGCAATTCATGAAGGCCTCTCCTCATGCATGTTAACTTGACAATGTTCAGCAACACAAATCTATTTTCCTTTTAAAGTAATTATTTTCTATTCAGAGAATATTGCACAACCGTAAAAGCTGAAAATCTGCTGGCAATTTATTTACTTCAATTCGATCCGACATCACAATAAGTTGCATAATCGCTATTAAGCATATGCTACTTTGATGTGCAAGAATTTGGAGACTGTTTCTATGGTTTATTGAAGAGATAAAGACTACCTGAGGCTACTGACTTCTATGTTAATCTCTTTGTAGAAAAAGAAAACACTTTTCCTTACTGAAATTAATTACCGAATGCTTAAGTCGGACCTATTAGTTGTCTTTGCCTTGTGAAGAAACACTGCTTACACAGGTTTTGGGTTCCATGTCGGCTGCTATTAATCTTGAAGTTCGCATGCCTTGATAAAGTTGACGCTGCAAGGATGCCTTTTTGATAAATTAGTCTTTTTAACCACAACGAGGTAAGCGCAACAACTAGGTGCTGTACCTTGAGTTTTGTGAAGGTCAAATCGTAGGTTTGAAAACGCAACTTGAAGCCAGTTGTTCGCTGGTTTCGTGGTGATCGTCCACTTGGTGTGCGAAGTGCAGAGGCGTACAGTCATGTCAAGAATGGGTGCCTCGTATTTCCTCCAGTTGAGCAATTAATGTCCTACTGAGCATAAAATGAATGAGGCCACGTGATATCCCTTTAAGGCAAAAACCGGGAGAACAAAGTGCTTTTGTTGATGTGAAAATTCTCCCTATTTTTTGACAGTAATTTTCTAGAGCATTAAATTTTCTGTTTGGGCGGAAATGGGCGGTGACAAGAGCGTATTCATTAAGGTAAAAGTTTCATCCAATTACTTCTCACTCGGCGAGTTAATCAGACTGAAAGACGCGAAAATCCTCCCGAAGGAGTTACAATGAAGAGCTTATCAGATTATGACCGCTTTATTTCTGTCCTCCCTCCTTCCCTCTCTTCTCTTTGAGTGTGTTCTTCGAAAATTACCTAATCACATTTAAGCAACCATCTCCTTTCATCGTCCTACGCGCGGTTTTGCATACACGACGTAAGCGATATTCTTTTGTGTTCTGCATTAAACGGCGGATCTCGAAAGTGCTCCGCCAATGTTTTTCTCCTCCTCTAAAGCGAGTAACGGATTAAACGCCAATTTTATGGGTCAGCTCAACCCTTTGGCCATTTGGCATTATTACTGTCCTTACGAAAAGTATATTTTCCTTATGCGTATGCATACGCAAAACAAAGTTCGCATGTTGTTGTTCTCGGTCCATTCTCCATCAAAATCTCAATGTTGTGGTCTTTTTTAATATACTTCACTCTGAGCTCTGGCTAGCCCAATACCTATCACTTGACATGGCAGTTAAGGTTGCAGTAACCATGGTGCCCTTTAGACGCACGGAAGATCGAATTTGGTCAGCTTACATTTTCTGAGGTCGTCACTGGGAGGCGCAGTCTTGCATGGCATTAGTTACGTAATGGCAATGCAACAACATCGTCTCAGAGGGGAAAAAAGGAGACGCCCTATCTGTCGCATGACGGCGAGCCCTGCCTGTAGCAAGGGTTGGGTGGTCCGAACCAACATCGAGCATTCAGCTTTACCTGCTCCATTAGACCCCATAATCTCACCATTTCCACCTAACATTTTAAACTAATTTTTGCTATAACCGTAGGACTTTGTAGCACTATTTTGAGGCAGTTCAGTTGCAAGACACGTTTTTATTTAGTAAGGACTGAATCCTCTTAAATTCTTGCAAAATTACTTACTTGGCTGTAATAACTTAAACTGGAATTTTGGGCTCAATTTGATGCTCTCATGCAGTGGCTGCCAGACATCCACAAGTGACTCCTTCGGACATGTAAACCCCTACAGTTAAGTATGAAATTGGACGAAGATTTCTGATCAACTTGCCCTAAAGCAATCATTTCTTGAGGCATATTTTGTGAAGACAGTAGTCCAATGTCTAAAGGCGTTGGTCACACCTCCGGCGCGGCCAATCGTTAGCGCTATTTTGGCCTGACCGAGGATTCAGCTGTAGTCGGAAGAGGGTTGAGGGCCATTCGGACTTAAAATGATGTATAGAGTGCGACAGCCCTAAATAAAGCAATCAGTTGTCAACGTTTACGCCCATTCCGACTGCCTTTGAATTTTTTTTTGAAATTAAAAGTAAGTAAATTGGCAACAAGAATATTAGGAATAATCCAAATTTTTTTAATGGTCCTACTCTGCTTTTGTACATTTCATTACAAAATTAATGTGGCAATTCGTCCACCTTCGAGAGACCACACATGCCCATGAGTTAGAAATTGGTGAGGAAATGGTGAAGAAATTGAAACTCCCGTCTTCGCAGTCCTCGTACTGACCTCCGACTTGCAGAAGCGAGCTTCTTCACCCTAGTGGCACTCCAGAGGCTTGTTAGTGTCCGATCTTCTTGCCTTTTAACTCGTCTTAACAAAGGATAACCGTATTACTTAACAATGAAACTGTGAGTGATGCGTCAATGCCATTAAAA